ACCTGCTCTGTGGTGTGCACGCTCAGCTATGTCCCCTCACCCAGCTGGGTCCCTCCACCCAGCAGGGCCCGCCAGCCACACCAGCCATTGGGGAGCGTGAGGCCATGGGTTCCCCCACCAAACCCAGCAGAGCACGCCAACCACACTGGCCAGTGGGGGGCAGTGCCCCGCCCAGCTCGAGCTTGCTGCACTCTGGCCTCTTGCACTGGGTTTCTGCCACGTGGTGTTCCGTGCACAGCCTGCGTGCAGTGGGCAGAGGGAGGCAGTGCAGGGCCTCTCTACGGCTCTGCAGACACCACACCCCTTGTGGCAGGCCCCCGCTGGACCTAGGTCCCCTGATGTAGTGCCGTGACCAATGCGACTCCTGCTGCAGGCCGTTCCCCTCGTGTGGTGGTGGTCATCCCCAGGAGGACACAGGCTGGCCGCCGAGCCTGCTGTTGTGCTCCCCGAGTCTCCGAGCCACAGGAGAGCCGCGCCTTTGGACAGGGAGCCATGTAGCCCGTGCTTATTGAACCACTTTGCGGAGCTGCAGCTTGCCCTGTGGCTCCTCCTAGAATGCTGCCATCAGCCTTAGCCCTCCCGTCCCAGGCCCTGCACCGCCCACCCCCGGCAGCCCCATGGACGGCCTTTCTCTGTCCCGGAGGTCTCCACCGGAAGGAATTGGCACGGGCCTGCTGTGCCAGTTGCTTGGGCCTTGTCCAGGATTCACCCACCCCGTGTACCAGAGCATGGCTTTACACGAACAGTGACGTTGGGCACGCAGACTCCACACTGCCCTCTACGTTCCCATGGCTGGAGGCTGAGCTCTTCCACTCTGGAGAGGACCCGCCGTGCTTGTCTGTGAAGGGTGGCCCCACGAATGCAGAATGGGCAGCGGGGGAGGGGCAGCCCTGGACGAGGTAGTGGCCACAGCACAGCGACACGTTGCAGCTGCTGTCCGTGGGACCAGCTTCCAGCCAAGTTCAGAGCTGGCAGGGATGTCCTGTGTGTGCTCCGTGATGCCCCCCTGCGGTGCCTGATCGTGCCGGATGCCGGCGGGCATGGGCAGCAGGCGGGCCAGTGTCCCATGGTGGGGGGCCCCTGCTGGGTGAACAGCCCTTCCACCCTCACACTTGGTACTGGGCTGTGGGTCTCCCTCTGTCGTGTGCTGAGCAGGTGCCGAGCGCAGAGTCCCCGGGGAGCCAGTCATTGCTGGCAAAGTGGACAGTTCCAGTCCTGGTCAGTCCCATTGAGCCAGCCGCTCTGGTCGAGGGTGCTCGGTCACTGCGACCCGAGTTGTGAAGGCTCAGTCCCCACCTGCCCTACACCGCCCTGCCTGCCTGCTGGAAGCCCCCGGCTCCTTCACGTCCGTGACCACGGGGAGGTGGTGTTCCCCGTGACACCTGATGGGGACCAGTGTGGGGGTTACTGTTTTGGGCATGTGGAGAAGAAACCACCTTGGGGGTCAGCAGGACATAGTAGGACAAGTGCTACTACCTGTAACACTGCCCGTTTGAGTCCCAGCTCCTCCGTTTCCTGTCCAGTTCCCTGCCCGGGGAAGCAGAGGAGGATGGCCCAAGACCCTGGGCTCCTGCAGCCACCCAGGAGACCTCTCTTTTCCATCCTGACAGCAGAGCAGCCACGGCTCTGGGAGACCTTGCGCCCTCCTCAGCCCCCACCATCTGCTACTGGCTCCTGGCCTGTGCCAGGAGGAGGGCCTTGGCCCACCGTCCTCTCCAGTGCCTTGCAGGGCCCATCTGGGGGCCAGGTCCCTGGTATTTCCCCTGTGGTAGGAACCAGTGCCATGCCCGTGGCCCGACACAGGGCACTGCAGATGGGAGACCCACATCCCGCCTGCCTCCACACTGCCTCTCAGCTGGCCTCTGGGAGCCAAAGGACGTGGGTCCAAGTGTTTGTTCTCTGCCCTCGGGCAATGGAAAGCACCGTGGGCCCCGCATGGGCAGGTGTGCCCGGCAACAGTAGGCAGGGAGCCTCGGAGTGCTGGCCATCTGGGTCCATGCTGGTCAGCTCCTGTGGGCAGATGCTCCTGCTGGGACTCCCCCACCCACATTCTGGCTGCCCTCTGGATACACGGGGGGTGGGGGAGCAGAGAGGAGGAGCGAGAGTTCTTGGTACCAAAGCCGCAGGCAGCCCTGCTGCGCCGTCAGGCTGGAGTCAGCGTGGGGCCTGCAGCGGCGGGTTCTCAGTTCACTTCTGAAGATGTAAACACCTGTCAGGATGCTGAGCCCCTCCCGCAGTGGCACTGAGTGCAGGTGCCCATGTATGTCCAGGGGCAGAGAAGGGCTGCCCACCGCACAGGGACCTGCAGTGGGCTAGGCTGCATGGGAGCAGGCCCTGCAAGCCCTCAGCTTTGGAACCATGAGCCTCCCCACAAGCTGGTGCTGCTGCAAGCTGCCCAGTCAGCCTCGCCCAGCAGGCAGCTGGCCTCAGGGAGCCCCAGCCATGCTGGCAGTGTTCATGGCACAAGCCAGTGCCCACAACATCAGATTGTCCTGGGCACTGCTGACGGCAGGGAGCCCCCGGCCCCACAGGCGGTCCTGGGCACAGCTGATGGCAGGGAGCCCCCGGCCCCACAGGCTGTCCGGGCGCGGCTAACAGCCCTGTTACCTCTCAGAAAGGAACCGTGGCCTATGGCTGTCACTCCCAGTCCTTGCAGCCTCACTGACCTCAGAGGTTCCAGTGTTTTGTTGTTTTTAAGATTTTATTTTATTTTTATTGGAAACTCAAATATACAGAGAGGAGGAGACAGAGAGGAAGATCTTCCATCCATCTGGCAACAGCCACAGCTATGCCAATCCAAAGCCAGGAGCTTCTCCAGGTCTCCCATGCTGGTGCAGGGTCCACTCATCTTGGGGAAAAAAAAAAAGGCAGAATGAGACAGAGGTATCTTCTGTCCACAGATTCATTCCTCACATGGCCGCAGTGGTCTGAAGCCAGGAGCTTCCTCTGGGACTCCCCATGCGGCCCAGGTGGAGCCGGACCGCGATCCAGTGTCCATGCCGGATGCCTGACTGTGCCAGCAGCCCTGCCCGCCCTGGTGCTGGCCCTGGTGTACAGTGCCCACCAGCACACCTGCACCAGCTGGGGCTTTGGGGCTGTGCTGGACACTAGCGGAGGACCTGTGCCCTTGCCTCTGTCCCTGCGGTCAGTTGCGGCGGCCAGTCTCGCCTTGGAGGCCACAGCTGGCCTGCAGGCCTGAGATCAGCACCCCCCACAGCCCCAGCCATGCAGCAGGCCCTGCGTTGGAGGCTGGGCTGGGCTGGAGCCTCGTTTCCAAGTTCTTGGTCCCTGGATGTGGTTCCCTGCAGACTGGTTGGGCCATGTGCTGTTGGCCTGTGGTCTTCCATCCTTCCCTGTCTGCAGGCCGCCACATCACCCGGACTCGGCCTCTGGGTGTTGTCACCCTGCCACCTGCTCCTGCCACCTGCTGCTGCCACAGGGGCGGCTCAGGCAGCCCATCAGTCCCCAGCCATAGGCGGCATGTCCTCCCGGCGGCCGTGCCCGGGTCTCACCCGACACCCCTAATTACAGTGATGTACCAGGCGCCTGGGGAACGGGTGGCATTTGATCACTGGAAGGAACTGAGCGCCCATTGATTGGCGACCTGGTTTGGCCCTCACGGCACCTAGATAGCCCTGGAACACTGAGTCACAGGGGTGGGTCTGAAGGGACAGCAGCCTGGCACGGGGGTGAGGACAGACAGACCAGGAGCCCAGAGCCCAGGGCCTTGCATCCCACCCGCACCCCACTTCCCTAACAGCTGCAGGACAGGCAGCACGCTGACATTTAGGGCAAAGCGTTCAGAACTGAGGCAGAAGGCGCGCATGAGGATTTTCTTGGTAAAAGGTCAGAGTGGTTTCTCTTATTTTTGTTTAAAAATGGTTTGTGTTGTACCATGACAAGGCTAAATGAATTAGCGGGCTGCGGAGCAGGAGGGGGCGGGGAGCCGTGGGAGCAGGCAGCACAGCTTGGCTAACACACAGACAGGCGCAGCTGGGGTACCCCTGCAGGTGTGTGTGGCAGAGCAGGATGCTGTCCGGACCTGCCCAAGGTCCCTGGGCTCCTGAGGGTGGGCACCAGCAGGCGTGCCCACTTCCTCAGGGCTGGGCCAGGCCCACTCGGAGCCCAGACCTGGCAGAGGGCAGTGCCAGGACGTGTGGAGGGCAGCAGAGGGCCCTGAGGGCTACCAGGCAGTGGAGTATTATTTTAAATACAAAACCCTGGCTGCTGCCCACACACCTGCTTCTGTGCGGCTCATGGAGTGGGCGAGGCCTCCCCTCCCCCACAGGAAACCCAGACACGCACCTGGAGTCGGGAGACATGTCCCTTCGCTGGCTGCACGGTGCAGGCATCCCCTGAGCGGTGGGTGGGCAGGGGGTGGGGCAGCAGGCACCAGGGCAATTGCTGAGCACTACACAGTGGCCAGGCCCTGGCCAGCCCTGCACCTGCCGGCTCGCTCGCCACTCTTACCTCTCTGGGCTCTGGCGTGCTCGACTGAGCCCACTGCCAACGTGTGGCCTGCTGTGGTGGGGACATGCTACGGGGGCGGGCACCGGGGGCAGGCGGGATTTGAGAAGGCCCTCCTGGTGGCCAAGTGGCTCTGTGTTTGAGCTCAGCCAAGACTTTCCCGGTCCAAGCTGTCCGAGCAGGGCACCTGCAGGAGGGAGACCATGTCCCTGGAGGGACCGCTCCCATGGCCCCTGAGGCAGGTGGGCACCTCGTCCCCTCTCAGCCTCCCACCATGCACGGCCAGTCCCTGGTGCAAGCTCTGCTAAGCCCAGTAGCCCAAGGAAGGGGGTGGGCAGTGCCATTGGCACAGGGAAGCCAAGGGCCCTGAACCCCGTGTCGGACAAAGGCTAGGAGGGCCCGGCCACTGGGGGCCACAAGGCCTTGCCTGCACCCGCAGGCCTTGGAGGGGTGAGGAGAGGGCAGCAGACGGGTCCCCCCAGGGGCTGCGGGCTGGGAGGGCAGCAGCACTGATGCGGCACTGTCCCCTGCAGGCCACAGGCCCCTCGGGCTCCCAGATGCAGCTGCTGGAGACGGAGTTCTCGCGCTCGGTGCCAGAGCTGATTGAACTGCATCTGCTGCGCCAAGACAGCATCCCAGCCTTCCTCAGCTCCCTCACGCTCGACCTCTTCAGCCGCCAGACCATGACCTAGCCTGCCCTCCAGCTGTGCCCACTGCGTCCCGGCAAGATGCTCCGTCCCAGCATGGCCTGACCGGCACCCAGCGCGACCAGGTTTGGCCGGGAACCACCACCCAGCACCTTCCGGCCGGCAGGCTCGTGACCAGGGGAGGGCCCGGCTCTGCCAGTCCCCTATTTCATCTGCTTGCAGGATCAGGTCCGGGGAGGCTGTGACCACCAGCCATGCCCCAACTCCACAAATAAAGCTTCCTCCAATCACCGTCACCTCCGTGTCTGCACTGAGCGGGCAGCCCTAGAGTGCCAAGGAGGACAGGGCAAGTGGGCAGCCCAGGTCTCCTGCCCTCCCAGAACAGGGGGCACCACAAAGACAATGTGGTCAGCAGCAAGGCTCGGCCGTGTCCCTCTGGGGGTCAGAAGCGCTGGGCCGGGCCCGGCTGCTTCCTGAAGCAAGCAGGACCCCACCACACTGAGGGCATTAGCCCTGGCTCTGCCACCCTGGACAGGCACCACGTCCTAAGTCCACCCTCCCTGGCCAGACGCACAGCCCCACACAGCCTCAGTGCAGCTCGGCGTCCCGTTCCTTCTCCACCCACAGTGTGAGAACCGAGCCCCACTCCCCTTCTTGGCAACGCCAGACTCTCCCTGGCCCCGTGTGCCCCCAGCCGGGTCACATGGCCTCTTGGCTCTGCCCACACCACCACGTCACATTGTCACCACACACCTGTCTAGAACTGATGCTAAGTACCACAGGGCCCCAGCCAAGGTGGGGCCTCCTCAGGTGTGTGGGTGAAGACTACAGGGGCTCCGCTGCTGTGACTTAGCAGAGTTGGGGGGCCAGCCTGGGACATCAGCAGTAAGGACATGTTCAGGGGACAAGAGACCAAGACCCTGAGCCCCAGGGCCGGGGAGGGCGAGGCTCTCATTCGGGGGCATGCAGACAGGAGCTCTCTGGGTGCAAGGCTAGAATTCAGCTCACACCAGCTGGGGGGACATGGGACTCATTAGGCGGGAACCCCGGCTGCACCACCGAGCCCCAAGGCTCCAGGACCCCAGCACCCCAAACTCTGCAGGCCACACCCCTAGAGGGGTCTGCATGAACCAAGCACCCCAGGTTCCGGCTGCATGTTCAGACAGGGCCTGGCATCAAGGAGGTAGGGGCACAGCCACAGCCACTGACCCAGCCCGACAGCACACCATGTCTCCCAGGCTGGCACCTGTGGTGCCTGGCAGCCCCTGCGTGTGGGCCAACGGCTGATTCTCTCATGCGGCTAATGCCTAATTGCCACGATTGGTGCCGGGGCAGTGCTCTGTAATTGCCGGATGTGGCAGGACGGAGTGCCCAGGGCTCCCTCGGCCTCCCCCGGCCCGGGCAGACAGCGCCGCCTGCTGCGGCCTCCAGGCTGGCTGTGACCCCAGGGCCTCAAAGACTCCCCGACACCATCAATCCTGGCTGAAACTCCCCACCCGCCAGCTCAGGACTGGTGCAGGATTCACTCAGCCCTCCCAGGCTCAGCTCCGGGCGCACCTGGCACCCCTCCTGGCATCCCTCCTGGCACCCCTCCTGGCATCTGCGCCCCACTCCCTGCGCTCCCCCGGCCCCGCAGGTTCTGTCAGCGTGGTAAGTGCTCAGGGGGTGTACCAACAACACCGAGGGGCACAACTCGCCATTCTCACATCATTGTTGCCAGCCTGCACCTCCCACGTCCCTGTCAGGAGCGAGCGTTTCCTCTGCCTTAACTCCACCCAGGACGGCTCCTCCCGTGCCTGGACAGGGCTGGAAAGAGGTGACCACAGGGAAATGAGGTCACAGGCGGTGGCGCCTAATCCACTGTCCGCAGAAGTCCTCTCAGAAGAGGTGATTAAGATGGACAAGAACGTGTACACACACACACACACACACGTCCTGGGAGGAGCCCGCTGACCCACTGCCGGCTCCTTGACCTGGGATGGCCACGGGGAAAGGAGTCGTCACTGTGGCCACACCCCTAGCCAGCCTCACTGTGGCTCCGTCCTCAGCTGCAATGTCTGCAAAACACAGCAGGTGCCCTGCGTCCACACAGGCGTGCAGTGAGCCACAGCACACGTGCCAGCGACACGCGGTGCCCCTGCGTCCACACAGGCGTGCAGTGAGCCACAACATACATGCCGATGACATGCTTGCTGGCAGACACCGCCACCCTGTCCTACAGAGTCAGAGGAGATGCAGCCAGCTGTAGGCACCTCATCACGGGTGGCCCCGGCCAGGGCTGGACAGAGGGGCCAGCCAGACAGGTTCCTGCATGTCTGTTCACTGGCAGGAAAGCCAGACCTCAGGGCCGCCGGGTCCCACAGAGCCCGGCCCTGGTGGCTCGGCAGCTGGGAAGACCTCACGGTGACACAGCCACTGCAGGGCTCTCAGATGGAGCCAGCATCCCGGGCAGCCAGGCAGGGCCTGGGGATGGGTAGGAGGCCTCCAGGGCCTCAGTGCCCGAGTTCAGACAGTCGCCTGCTGGACCCCATGGAGGGCGTGGGGCTCGGTGTGGCACTGTGGCTCAAAGGCCGGCCGCCACAGTGCTGTCCCCCCTGGAATGGAAAGGAGGCCCACCAGCTTGCACGCTGCCGGCAGAACCTGCTAATCAGAACCCCCCCCCAAGTCCTTGAGTGCAGGAATTCAGAAAGGTCTGAATTTGCATATTCATGTTGTTAATGGGGCTCAGAAGGTGTGCGTGGGGCTGATGAGAGGGATTAATTAAGCCTCATTTGCATGGGTGGGCAGTTAACTCCCAGCAGCCTGGCTGGAGTCAGGTGTTGAGGCCACACCGGACACTGAAGGCCACCCTAGGGTGGGGCCAGAGCTCCCGGCCTTCCGCCCACACAGGGGTCCCCATGATGGGAGGGCGCCCAGGGCAGCCACGCTGGGGGAGCCACGAGGCCCACACAGGAACTGGTCCAGCAAAACAACATCTGAGCCCTCGGGGACACCAGGGCCCGAGGCTGCCCGAGTGCACACTCGCCTCCCACACAGGTGTGCACGGACTCACCCACACCACTGGACCACAGCGTGCCCACTCCACACACCCACCACAAAGCCCAGATCCCCTCGGGCCAGCTTCCCACTGAGGTCCTGGGGCCTGAGCACCACCTCCCCCTGCAGCCCAGCAGCTCCAGCTGGACCGTGTTTGGACACACCCACAGACAGGTGCAATGCCCCACAGGGGACACCTCCAGCCGGGGTCAGGTCAGACACACCAGCTGGTGCTCTGTGCACAGACAGGGACCATTCCCCGTCCCTGGAGGGACCTTCTGCAAGTGAGCCGCCCTGGGAGGCCCCCAGTGCTGGCAGCCAGATCTGCCCCACCTCCAGGCACATAGCCCAGCACTCCAGAGGCCAAGTGACTGAGCCCGGGGCCAGCCATGCGCACACAACCAGTGAGTGTGACAGCCGTGTGACACCAGGCGTGTGTCTCATGTGGATGGTGATGTGTGGGTGACATGGTATGTGCAGCTCAGATGACACACTTGTTATGTAAATGCACACTCCTGCACACAATAGACGGCATGTAGCAGAGATGGAGATGAACAGGAGCTGACGTGTGTGTAATGCAAGGACACTCATGCCTGGTGCTGGGGGAGCATGTGTGGTTAGCTGAGATGTACCGCACACACACAGGAATACTTAGGTGAGCCATGCATGTGGAAGATGTGCTTGATGTAGATGGGGACATGCGTGGGACCTAGAGGACACGGGTATTCCACGTGCATTGTAGTGCGGTGTGTGGAACGCAGGTGCTGCATGGGACACAGATGGTGTGTGTGGTGTAGGTGACACGTGTGGCATAGATGCTGTGTGTGGCTGACACACCTGTGGGTAGATGGTGTATGTGGCTGACACGTGTGGGTGCATGCTGTGTGTGTGGCTGACACGTGTGGGGACATGCTGTGTGTGGCTGACACGTGTGGGGACATGCTGTGTGTGGCTGACATACATGTATGGGTGCATGCTGTGTGTGGCTGACACGTGTGGGTGCATGCTGTGTGTGGCTGACACGTGTGGGTGCATGCTGTGTGTGGCTGACACGTGTGGGGACATGCTGTGTGTGTGGCTGACACGTGTGGGTGCATGCTGTGTGTGGCTGACACGTGTGGGTGCATGCTGTGTGTGGCTGACATACATGTATGGGGACATGCTATGTGTGGCTGACACGTGTGGCATGGATAACACCGTATCAGACACATGATGTTTTTCAGGGAGCTGGAGGCTGTTCCTCTCTTACGTCCTGTTTTCTCATAACGCGCACCTGTCTGCACACCAGCATCACACAGGCCTCGGCTCCCCACTGTCTTCCCTTCCCTTGGGAAATCGCCACGGACTTGCCAGCCTCGGGGTCCATGTGGACGACAGTGCAGGCAGCCAGGCCAACACGGCCTCCTCCAAAGGGATTGGGAGGGGCTGGGCTGGCCAGCCTGCAGGTGGCACCCACAGGGGCACTCCTGCACAGGTATGTGGCCCATGGCCCTGGACCTGGCAGCTCCGTGGGGGCCGGGTCACGCCCAGACTGTACACACAGCAGCCGTCAGGAGATGGCTGCCCCCTGACCCCCACCCCTGCAGCCCTGCAGGTAAGTGTCCCCCAACTACACGGCCCAAGAACGGCCTGGGTCCCTCCATGCACGACTCCACCACACATCCCAGGTCGGGACTCGAGCTGCAGAGGCAGGGGACCTGCAGACCCGAGCCCTGCAGACCCGAGCCCTGCAGACCTGAGCCCTGCTCTGGACACCCTGGCTCCACCCTGGTGGGAGTGGGGCTGAGAGGGTTGGGATGAGGGTTGGTGTTTAGGGTTGGAGTCTAGATTTGGGGTGAGGATGGGGGTTAGTACTGGGATTAAGGTTGCAGCTAGAATTAATTTAGGGTTCCTGGCTACAGTTGGAATTAGAATTGGCGTTAGGGTTAGGTTAGGGTATTACTTTTAAGGTCAGGGCTGCAGCTGGAGTTACAGTTGGCATTTAGCATTAATGTTGGATTGAGGATTGGTGTCAGGGTTAGGGCTCGGGTCAGGGTTAGGTTGGGGCTAGGGTTGAGTTCGGTCCATCAAAGGGTGCAGGATTGGAGCTGGGCCCAGGGTTCAGAATAGGTTTGTGTTGGGGCTTAGGGATGTGTCTAGGTAAGGGTTTAAATTGGGGTTTGGGTTAGGGTTGAGGCTTACAGTTGGGGTGAGGGCTAGTGTTAGTGGTTGGGGTTAAGATCCAAGGTTGGGATTGAATTTAGGATTAGGTGGAGTGTT